AGAAGCGTGAGGGGGAGATGCCGGTACCGGCGCGACTGAAACCGGCCGTACACTGAGGCGGACGGGAGGGAGCGCTGCAGGGCTCTGCTCAGCCCCAGTCAGCACAAACGCAGTTTTTTCCACTTCTCCACAGCCAGAGACACCTTCCCTAAAAGAAATCTCCCATAGCTTTAAAAACTGATAACTACAGCTGTAGCCTTCTGTCTCCATAACTACAACTTTAGCTTTCTGTCTCCATAACTACTGGAGACAAGTTTTCAGTAGTGAAAGAGCCTAACGTAGTCAACCACAGTATGACCAAGTGGCTCTGGAAGATTTAAAAGGACCACAAGCCTTTGGTGATTAGCTGCATGAAACCAGCATAGTCTGCTTTTAGCTACAGGAAGAAATCAGGATTAAGAAGTCAAAATTAGTCTTCTGAACTAAAAGCTATAAAGTGATCCTGATGATTGCCAGGGTGTCAATTCCTTAAGAGACGGAAAGGGGCGGTCAGGAGCACAGTGGGAGCGTGCCAGCCCACAGCAGGTTTCTCTTGAAGCAATGCCACTCTCCTACACCAACACGTTTCCATTTTCAAAGACTAAATCCTGCTTGCCAGATATAAACACACCAAATAGATTCAGGAGGACAGCTGAGATTTCTGCAGGACACAGTGAGAGAACCTCGGGATTCAAGGAATTTTTGTGGTAACAAGGTGCATGCCAGTCTAGTTCATTTGCTTTGTTTTCTGACGGGGAGATGGAGCATGTTGTTATTTCTGTGGCACAAGTAGGAAACACTTCCAGGAATTACAGTGTAAAACGGTCCTGTGCAACTGATACAGCTCCTATTAGAGCAACACATAGCCTTTCCAGGTTAATGGTATGATCTGAATGAAATATATCAGTTCTTATTTTTATTATCACAGGGATGCAAAAACTAATTAAAGAAGAGAGCAACAGAAATTCACATTAGCTCTCCAAACACTACAGTCAAAAGTTTTAACTAACAGCTTTGATTTAGAGGCATCCTCACAGATGTGACTGATCACATTTACAGTATGGTTATGTTGTTACAAAGGGAAAGTTTACAAAGCTCATTAAAAAAATAATCAAATATTCATGACCAGAGTTAGCTGAAGCAAGGAATTTTGTTGCGATTGTCCTTTCATTTTGTCCTCCTCTTTGCATTAGTATTTATGCTTTCAGAATTTGGCAGGAAGCTTCATCTTCTTTTCAGTCCATCTAAAATAACAGAATTATTAGACATCAGGCTTCACATTCTGAAAATAAACTGAGTGGCTTAGCTTCTGGTACCACAGATGGCATCAATACAAACAATCAAATGATCCTTTGAAATATATTTTGCTAAAGTGTCCAACAGATTTCAAGTGTTCATGTCCAAGTAATACACTAGAAGCGTGCTTGAAAGAGTGCAGAGCGAAAAGCTGCTTAAGGAGAAAAAAAAAAAAGCAGAATTTCCTTAAAAACTGTAGTATGTGATTTGTTCCTTTATATACTAGCTTCTCAAGGTGACAGGGCATATCTAATGCAAACTCAAATGGTTTAATTACACTTAAATACCAGTCACTTAAGATCTTAAGAATATGTGATGCTCTTAAAAAATGAATGTGATTTTTCCCTCACAGCATTTACTTGTGTTCTTGTCAATTTAGTTAACAGTTTTGTAGGTCTTCTCCACATGCAACTGTGTAAAAAAAAAGTTTCATACCAATTTGTTTTCCATTAAGGAATTTTTCAAGTATAGTTACAGGCAAAATGTACCCTATGAAAGGAAGCAGAAGCTTCTAGCTGAAGTGATGTACACATTTTCCTGTCTATTGTGAGCAAGTCGGATAGTATTTTGTACTTTAAATTCTGATTGAACACCTCTGTAAAGCACTTTTTATTCTTTGTCTACAACTGGGGAAACTATGACAATGCCTGTAATGTCATATGGCAAGATCAACGCGAGCTGAACCTGCCTGCTATCAGGACTATATCAATCACCATGTTTAACACTGAGTTTATCGATCACCATGTTTCTTCACAGTTCTGCACTCGGTCATCTTCATCTGCAAGGCACAGCTCATATTATTTTTTCGCCTTATGAAAACAAATGCAAAATATAAACAGCAACATTTGTATAGCTGATTTAGGGGGAATGTTCAAGTAAAAAGGCATGGTAGAACTATACAGTTTATTTCCAGGACATAATACTGAAGTTTTTAAAGATAGTAAGAATTTTGTTGTTGGGAAGGTGTGTTTATGATTTACAGCAACGTTTCTGCCTGAATCTGGTTGTTAATTTGAAGAAAAAACATCTAACGTAGTTACATGTTTTCTCTTACCTTGGGGAGTCAATTCCACTGTCTCCTGTAATGCTGTGGTTTTCTGTCCCTTCGGAGCGCTTCTGTCCTGATATCACGGTACATGCATTCTTAAAAAACAGATCTCTCTTTCCCAGAGGGTTTCTCGTTTCTTTGGTCTGTGAGCCCAAAGCACCGCATGCCACTACTTCGCCCATCTCATAGGTGAAGTTCTGCAAAGTGTCAGCATCTGAGTCAGCCTCATTAGCGTAGCAGATTTCTGCTACAGGTGAAGCCTTCGCACACTCAGTAAGGCCAGTTTCTTCTTCCTTTCTGTGACCTGTCGGAAGAACCCGAGTGCACAAACAACTTCCTTCTGTGAAATCTGTTTTTGGATGCTCTTTTGAGCCATCTATTGATCCTGCAAAACTAGCACTTCCCTTACATCCATGCTCGCCAGAGTCACGTTTATTTACAGTTGTGTTGTACTGGGTGGGATAAGTATTGACCTTACAGATTTTTAGGGACATAGCTGTGCCCAGCTTGTGCACAGCTTTACTCCAGTCTCTTTTATCTGAAAAAGCATGGCCAGGAGGCAGGTGACATGGTTCATTGCCATCAAAACTGTCATCCACATATAACAAGTTACAGGTATCACCATCATGTGGTTTTTGGTACAGAAGATGGCAGTTATCAGTAAATCCTTCACTTTCCAGCTTCATTGATCCGGGATGACTGACACCATCGTATTTAATTGTAAGTTCACTCTTTTTATCAGTCTTTTGTCTGTATTTCACACCAATTTTTTTTACCAGGTTAACATTGGCTGTATAATTTGAAAGACAGACATTTTGAAATTCATCTGCTGTTTGATCTAATAACTCACATCCAGTGTCAGCTTTGCACCGACAATACTCATCTTTCAGCTGTAATGAAAATTTTGCATCATCTTTGCACACAACATTATCTTCAGCGTAGGAGTGAGAGGATTTTTTAATATCCCCAGGATTTTTTTTGATTGTTCTTCTGCAGATGTTTTCTTCAGGAATGTTACTCTCCAGAAAGTATTTACTTTTATTATCTATTTGGAAAGTACTGCCTTGCAGATAACTAAAGTTTTCACTTAAACTGTCTTTCTTTAGTTGGAGGGAAGACCTGTTAGCGTGGAGTAGTTTGTTTTGCTTAGCTTTGTCAGCCTGTGTTTCAGTAGCCAGCTGTTCAGTTTCATAGTCAAAGGTTTTTGAGGAGTCCAAGGACCGTGGTCTTTGTAAAGCCCTTTCTTGCTTTCGAGTCCTGGACTTTATCTGGCTGTTAATAGTACCCTTGTACCCTTTTGCATAAAAGTTGCGTCTCCATGACAGACCCTGAAAAGGGTTCTTAATTTGTTTTTTATATATGACGTGGGATTCCACCACTACTACATCAGATGGCTGTTGGTTTCTGATAGGCAGTGAAGGGTTCTCTTCCAGTTTCTCATTTTGGGATGTTAGCTCATGTATGTGATATTTCCTGTTGCTTCTGCTTATCTGCTTCTCTTTCTTTGATTTGGTTTTCCTGGTATGTTTTGCTGTTTTACTTTGTGTCTTTTGAATACAATCCTTTGAAAGATGGTTTTGTCTGACTATTGACGCTTCAGCCGAGCTACCCTTACCAATATATTTTTTCTGCTCCTCAAACTTCTGCATTAATATTGTGTGTTTCATCACATTATCAACTGTGAGAGCAGGGTTAATGCGCTTGATGATTTCATGTTCAATATCACGTGGAATATTGTCTAAGTCATCTTCATCCCTGACTGGCCATTCCTTGGGAGGAAACTGGGCTGAAAAAGTGGAGTACTCCTTCTTATGTTTTTCTTTTTTAGAAGCACTTCTCCAGAAAAGGACAAGGCCAAACCTTTTGCTTTTCAGTTTCTCTTTCACAGATGTCAGGGATTTGATGGTGTCCCAGGAGTGGTTTTCAGCAGATGTGGAGACCCCTTGAGTTTGAATTGAAGGCTTCAATTCACTGCAGCCTTTCTTACCTCTTCCATTAGGTTCATGGTTCATTAGCTGCCAATGTCGATGTCTTTGTTCACAGAGCATATTCTGGTCAGGGAAACAATGGCAGGATCTGTAATGGGATACCGTAGGAATGGTTTCTTTCACTAGGTCTGCACAGCGCTCAATGTTTACCAGGTAAGTGATGGAAGGCAATGAACAGCAACAACTGTCCTCCAACGGGACCCTTCTATTGTCTTCTGTGGCATCATTTGCGATAAAGTATGTGTTGGGAGTCACAATGAAGTATCCTTCTCCCGTATGATAGATTTTCCTTTCTTTAATTAGAGTGCCAAGGATATTATATAAGATATTGTGGGAGGGAACTGCAATGCCTACAATAAAGATACAGATATTTCAAATCAGAAATAAGTTTTCAAATAAAATGGGCCAAAAAATAACTTACTTACAACAGATGTGGAAGCCACTGAACATGAAATACCCAATGTATTTAGTTTACAGGATTCCAAATGAAGTTTGAAACTGACCTGGCAACTGAAGTTTGAGTAAGGCATACTCAATTTCAACATGAAAGTGTCCAGTATCACCAGACACAAGGCAGGATTTTTTTTTTTAATACATCACCACTCTGCTGAGTTTCCAGAGCCAGCAATTGCTGTTGCACCCAGCTGTCCCCACCCACAGCCCTGGGCTCCCTGCAGAACGGGGACAGCCCCACTCTGCCGCCATGTCCACACCTGCAGGGCAGCGAGGGATGCCCCAAATACCGGGGCCCAGCACAGGCTACAGCCCTGAGCCAGGGAGAGCCCTTCTGGGCCAGCCAGGTGAGGGCAGCACAGAAACATCATCCAGCCAAGAGCTCTGGTAGGTGCAATCGTGCCGGTATCTTACAGATCTGTAAAACCCTTTTTAACTTTGCCAAGGCCGTTCCTCACTAATGAGGCAAGGTCACCCCTGTAGAAGAAGGTAAAGGCCAGCTGCGTTTCTGGTTGTCACTGCAGCACTGCTGTGATGGAGCTTAGGATGTTCTCCTTCGAATAAGTAAGGATGTTCTCTTTGTGTGTATCAGGATATGATATTCATGAGAGAGACCTGCCAGGTACAAACCAAACAATGTGTTGTTCAAAGCGTTTCCCTCTTGGCAGGTTATTTAACAGTGGCTTTTATCACTCTCTCTGAAGCTTCTGGTATAATTTTGTCAGATGGCAGTTGCTTACCTCACTGAGACTGGTCTCAGCTACTGTTTTTCCCTCAGGTGTCACAGTCCCAGAGTCATTAGTCTAGTGACATCTGATCTACTGCCCCAGGCTTCTGCTGATCTCCTGCCCACGGGAATGAAAACTTCCAGCAAGGTGAAAACATAGCAAGAAATATGCTCTCTCCCTACAAACTTTGAGAGTGCAACTTCTGGCTGACCTAAGAATGCTACCTTGTGGTTGTCTCAGTGCACATATGGACTACAGCACGTTCCTGGCAGGGTTCTTGGCCAGTTTATGGGGGGTTGCATTAAAATTTTTCCCACTAGTGAAAATGCTTACCAGATCAACCTGTAACGTTTGCAGAGCTATAAGGTTAAGAAGACTCAAAAGAGGAAGCTCAGTATCAAACAAAGCAACCTCCTGCAGAGGGCCATAATGAGCCTTTACAAAGTCTCACGTGCACACACACACTGCAATATTGCAGATCTAAGGGAAACTGAACATTTTTCAGATTGAAAAGAAAACGCAGCATTTAAGGGAAGTGGCTGCTACTCCATCAGAAGAGAAAGATTAAAGCTTATTTAGTGTAAGAAGTAATTTGCTTTCAGGAAGGAAGGGGCTGGAATTTGACCAACAAACTTGAATTTGAGGCCGGTTGTATTTTTTAATAGCAAACACCAGATGTAGACTCCTACCCAGTCCCTTTGCCATCAAAGTCAGCTATGTTCCTATCTCTTAAAGGAGGACTCAAAGTCTTTGTGATCTGACACACAGTCTACTCATGCTGTTCCATACCTGGCACCTAAATACCTCATCTATGCTTTCCCACCCTCTAGAAAGGGCATACTCCCAACATGTTACTGCACTGAGTTCCCTCTTATTCTCAGAGAAGATTTATTAAAATCTGTAAAAAGGATTACATTCAAAACAATGTTAGTGACGCTCACAGATTGATGAGAATAGTATGCATATTCATGTATTCTGCCAGTTGCCTGTTAATTTATATTCTTTCATATTGCCAGCTTTGCTTGTAAATATTCAGTGATCACTTGCCCAATAACAGAAACTCAAGCTTGATGATACAGTCACTTTTAAAAGGAGAGAGAAAGGAACACATCACCTGGATAATTCTTCACTAACTGCTCCGTTAAAGTTTCCTGTGTGACCGTCACATGATCTGCATTCATGTCTGATACGGTACGGCATATTTCTTCTGCCAGAGGAATGGAGTATGACTGCGAGAGAGGATTCATGAGAACAGGGGTCACATCACCTGAAGTCCAGAAAGAAAGAAAAAAAAAAAAAAAAGGATTGTTTGAATGGAATAGTGTTTCATTTTTTCTATTAGTTGTGACAAATTTTCACTGAAAATTTCTTTGGCAAATTACTCAGAAATATTTCTCAGAGAAGGGAAGTGACTCTAGCACTTTTCAAGTGCCTTTGTAATGAAAGAAACAGAAGGTTACCTTAAGCACGTTAGTTTGTTTGGTATTAAATTCCAACTTAAACCATCTTTTAGCTTAACAAACAGAGAGCTGAGACAGAGAATTATGTCAGATGACTGCTAACTTTTTAGATGACTGTTTACTTATGAAACCGTGCAGAACCTGTATTTCTCTAAGTAGCTAATGAAAAAGGTCAACATCTAATAATCTAAGTAAAAAATCTTTTCATCGAGTCAGAATGCAGGGAGAAAAAGACCAGCAACAGGCTTTGTCCCTTGTCTAGCACACAAATTTGAATAGAAATGGTAAAAATTCCATTTTTAGACCAGGGTCTAGAACTAGAGATTGTCTACTAGACTGGGCAGAGGGCAAAAACTCTTGTTACAGCTGCATCCGTTTTTTAGGCTACATCACTATCTCTACTGGCTTGAGACAGTAACGTTGTCCCTGTTCTGCATTGTGAAAGCAGAAGCTCGGAGGGGCTGAGAGCATGGCCCAGCTGCCCCAGTACCTCTGCAGCCCCAGCCCAGGGGGCTGAAAAGGGCCTTAGTCCTTCACCTCAACTCCCCCATCCATAAAACACAAAGATAAACACTGCCCTCTCCCCTTCGCAAGACGGCAAGGCCAGTAAGAGCAAGCCCAGCAAGTTCTTCTGACGTGGTACCAGTGAATGATGTAGTAGGGAAACCTGAAATAAGTCTTATCCCTGAAAGCTGATGACAAAACACAAAACAGGGACTCACCTGAGGTCTGTGCATACAGTAAGACAATGGCAGCATATACCTTCTCAGGGGGGGAAAAAAAAAAAAAAAAAAGAAAAGCTTTCTTCTTTTTTTCTTTTTTTTTTTAAAAAGACTGATGGTCTGTTCCCAGTACCTGGTGGTGGTCTGTGCTTCCCTCTTCTGTGTTGCACAGAAAGCCCCTGGGTATCCTCGGCTGCCAGAGCAGGCAGAAGGCAGCAGGGACTCCCGATTACTTCACAAGGCAAAAACTAGTGCTAAATGCTAACAGTAATTTTCCCACAAGTCAGAAGTGACATTTTAGATTAAGTGATATTCATGTTTAACTGAACTGCAATTGGATAGTCTGTTGGATGGCTCTGTAACCCAATATTTATCCTTTAGGCAGAAAACTACAACACAAACATTTCTCTGAGTAAATGAATTAAGCAACAGCACTTTGAAGAGCTTAAATTGCTCTTGACCTTTGTTTTACAACTGCTGCTATGTTCGACAAAAAGCACTCAGAAAAAAGTCCTGGCATACAGTTTCCTCAGTGATGTTGCTAGGATACTCCTTGTAGGTGCAGAAACCGTTGCAAGCTTGCTTTTTGTATGGGAAAAGACCATCAGCATTCAGTAATAACTCTTGTGAATGGTTTGCTGTCTCAAGTCTCTGCTTGTAGGCACAGTGTGCTGCTGCCAGTTTTACCATTTGCTCCTGCAGAGTGCCAAATTGCTAAGGAGTAAAACACCAAAGTTTATTCATTATATTTTTTATTATTATTATCTTGCTATTATTGTCTGCATCTGTCTCACAGCCTCAAATCCCATGTCTCCATTCAGGGAAGGCCCTTTCAGAATAATATTTATAGCAAAGCATTAAGCAAAAGCCAGCTTGATACTGAAGGAAAAAACCACACCACTAAAATTGTGTTCAAACGCAAGTCTATTTAAAATTATTACTACAGATCAACAGTGCCAGAGTACACACGTGCTAACAACATGAATATTACATACCATTCCCTCCTGACTTTGAAATAAAACCTGAAATAGTGAAAGCAAGAATTAGATCATTGGCAACATTGATAAGCAATGTGGGAAAAGGCCCAGGCAGCACCCTACAAGTGTCTATCAATTTCTTATTAAAAACTTTGTTGATTTACTTTCCATAGTTAAATAACTGTTGTGGTTGCTCTTCAGATGTTCTCCCAAGTTTGATGGAAACACATAAAAGCTGCACCCTTTAGATTTGCAGAGGGAGCAGTCTTAACTATTTGTGCAAGACTATTTGTCTCATAGGCCTGGCGCAAATTCACCAAAATGCCACGCCCTTTAAAGCTTTTCAGTATCTGTCCCTTTACAGCTCAAAAAAGACTGCAGAGTCCCCTGCCCCCTTCCCTACCCTACATAAATCATCTGATGAGAATCATCTTCCTGGTTTCTTCATAGTGTTTATGAAGGACTTGTTTATGCCTACGTGCAAGGTACCTATGTCAGCAGTCAAGGAACTCAGGCTGGTCCTCTTCATCATTTAAATACAGCACAGTTCCCATTTCACGCTCTGCAGCTCTTACAGAATCATGTTTACCAATGGCAAACTAGGCAGCTTGCCCGTACTCATGTATTATTGTCCTTCAGTTTGGTTTACCTGTCTATTCAAACTCTGCTCATTACCTGGACACCTGAAACCCAAGACAACCCTTTTGGAGCACTTATTGGTCACAATGTGGGGAAGTCATGTGTAATACGAGCATCAGATAACAAAACCCAGCACACAGAAAAGCCTCTGGGTATTCTTGACTAGCACAAAGTGAATTTTTGTTCCATCTCTGTAATGTGATCTTTACCATTTTTCACTGAGTTGTTTAACAGTTGCAGAACTTCTGCATCTTCTGGCTCTAAGAAAAATTGCATACAAGACAAGTTTTTCCTGGGTAAAACCCAGGCTAGTTCTGGGGAAGTGAACAGAGAGGCATTTTATTACAATAGCACTCAATTTACTTCTTAAAAGTTCAGGTAAACAATTTCTATAACAATACATGGTTAACAGTAAATTCATTCCAGAAAAAAAAAAAAAACCAAAACAAAACAAATGCAAATCAAGAATAAACTCCCTTACATGATTCCACTTACATCTGTTGAGGCAGAGAAGACACAGCACATGGAAATGGAAGATTGACTTTTCTGTTTTGTAGCTGGAAAAATCTATCTTGGAATTGCTTTGTATGCTCTATTAAGTTGAACATACAAAAGATCCCACAGATCCTGTGCATCTCTGCATGAGAGCCCTGGTATGTTTGATACACTTCACTTTTTGCAGAAATGCACCAGGAAAGCCATAAGCAAGTACAGTTCTGCTAGAACTGCAAGGCTTTTGTTTTTCTATAGACTAGAGCGCATCGTGGTCACATTTTATAGCAAAAATTACATTTTATAATTAAAGACAAAGAATTTTAAGGAACAAAAAGTTAGTAAGAACATCATAGAAAGTTAGGAACTGTAGCAAAACACTTTTTGAACATTAATGGAGATTTTAGAAGATGTTTCCTTATTAAAGAACAAAAATTCTATATAGGTTATAAAGACAGAGTTAAGATCAGTAAAACATTTTCAATTTTAAGGATATAACAGGGAAACTCTATTTTGGCATAATTATTGTGTACTAGATCCTGTTTTCAGAATCATCCTTTACTGAAGCAAAGAGTAAATAGTTCAATTGCATTAAAACTGTCAAATCTTGTAACATGTTTAATCTGTTACTGAAACAAACAAAAGCTCTCAGGAACAGCAGACAATATCTTTCTGTTGTTTGATTATTTTGTACAACTCGCAAAGAGAGAAACAAAATGGTTAAGTGTCAGTTAAGGTCACTGACACTTCATCAGTTGATGCTAAAAAAGAAGCTACAAATACATCAAAATGTCGGATTTCCATACCTACTGATTCCTGCAAGAACAGACACTTCCAAATCAGGACAACTAGGCAAACAATGTCCTCCATTTGGACTCAACCGCTGATTTTTACAAACAGAGGATGAGGCCATGCAACTTGAGGGGGGAAAAAAAAAAAACAAAACCAAAAAAAAACCACAAGCAAAACCGAACCACTTTTTCTGCTTTCCTGACAACACCCAGAAGTCTAGTCCCAACTGCAAGTGTTATGAACTTTAAAAAAATATGACCTATAAATGCTTTCTGAAGTTCCTAGCCAAAAGCCTAACTCTAATCTTAGGGCTAATGGCAACCCACAGCCATCTTTTCTTTCATCAGCAATAAAAAAAAAAAAACACAGGCAGGTATGGTGAAAACAAAGCAGGATTCAAGAAGAAAGGCAAGAGTTCTCTCCTGCAATCTTGGTTCAAGCCCCCAGATAGGAACAAGTTACAGAGCAGACACCAACACGTTCAGCGTGGTACAGTTTTCCTTAAGCTGAGCACAGTGGGAAGGTTTTTGCCGTTGAAACACGTATCTGATCTTCAGAGAGATCGACCCCTTCAACACTTGCCGAGGCCACTGACATGTCCACTTAAATGCTTCAAGAACATCTTGAGAGCAGGTTTCAAGCTCCAAAGGTACTGACTGAATGCACGAGCAAGCATGCAGCTTCAAATAGACCGTTTAAAAGAAAAGAGCACTTCTGCTTGCTTGAAGACAAGCAGGCAAGTTGTCCAGTAGAGATCTGTGTGTCGCCCACAACAGCTGGCAAAATAGCCAACAAGCAAAACCATGTAAACACATCTGCCTTTGGGGAACTCCTGCTGTTCACTGCATAACTGGCACGAAATTGAACTATGAGCAACTCAAGAGAATTATTTTTCATATACTTTAGCACGCCAATAGCTTTTAAGTCAATTCATATATGGCATTGAACATAACCAGCACAGCTGATAGCAAGGAAGATCATTTTTAACCATTTCAGCATTCAGTGTCAGGCTTGATCATAAAAGACAGATTGATTCAAAAGCTTCATTGCAGGGAGATAATACAAAATGAAACAGTCCCAGGTAAGTTGCAAAACCGTCAGTGACTAGCCCATGGAGCCAAACAACAGAACAGGAATAAACAAGTCATTGGCAATGTCTCTGGCTCCTTTAACTGTCTGCAGATGCTGCCATCCGCTGCTACAGGAATTTGACACAAGCACATCTTTTCCACTTGGCCTGGTCCAAAAAAGCCCCTTCGCAACCCTGGCATTTCTCCACTAAAACAATTCTGCCTTCTCCTTGCTCCCAGCCCTGTCGTCTCTTCTGCAATAAATCTCAGACCATCCAAATAGCTCTTTAATGTCAAAACCTTTGTTCTAAGCAGAAAGTGTTACTGGGTGTTGGTTAGGTACTTACTTACCTATACAGTAAAAGACTTACTATGAAAACATCAGCATGCAGTTGTGCATTCCTGTGCCTGCTCAGCTAAAGGTCAACTCCAACTGCTGTCATATTCCCAGGGCTGACTCATTTGCCTGGAAATGTGCTGTCACACAAAAGGCAGTCACAAAAAGTATACAATATAAAGCTGCAGTCATAGGAGTAAGATTTACCTATGGTCATGTCTCCCCTCCCCAGAATGGACCAAAATTCATTTATTTGCACACTCCCTGGCTTCAGCTCACATTTACCACAGCCAAGGAGAGTCGCACACTAGTCTTTCAGAGGAACAGCACCCACAGAGCTATTCAAAAGAGACATAGCCCCCTGCAGAGGGTTTCCAGCAAACCATGAATCAGGGGACACATGACAGCTATTATGTCCAAGTTGCTCCCAGGCAACACTTGGCCAAATCCCACCTACCGCAGAAGAAGCTGTCAGAGAGCTTGGTGCAGTTGTAGCTTCCCTCAGACCCAGGCCCCTGGCTTGCAGTGAGGACAGGAGCCACCATCACACACTGAGGTGGAACGAAGCAGGCCTCAGATCTTGTTTCAGGACATACCCCACTGCAGGGAGTTTTTTTTCATTCAGCTGAGAACAAAGCTTTGATGGTATATGGGCAACTTCACACCTGCCTGAGCAGCTCGTGATGTGGGATGTTGATGGATGTGC